TGCTGGTCGCAAACCAATTATGTTGGTTTTGTCGTGACGCGGCTCATATCATTTACATCATCCAACTGGCAGCATTATATTTTATAGAGTTGGTATTTAAATATAGGTGACGTTTTGTTGGTAATCTAAAAACCACTTCTGAATAATATACTTTATTTCATGCAGTGAACATGCAGTAAACATGTCAAAATGGGTGTAATTCATTCTACAGATGTTTTCTATATTTAAAGATTGTGTGTTCCATAAATAACTTGATTGAATTCTGTGTGTGTGATGTGTCTGCTATAAGATGTAATATTAGCAATATAGGTTGATACAGAAAACTTTATGAGATCTGTTAGATATACACATTTTATGGGTAAATCAAAGAAATAAGTTTTTCTAATTCAGTAGAACCACTACGAAAAGGGTGTTGTTCCTTTTCGTAGACAATATTTTTGGTTGTGACCTTGAGAGGTATTAAAATGTCCAGTTCAGAACTGTTCACTATTTAGGGGAGATTATAAATGTGTTAGCGGTCAGATAGCTTGGTTAATAGAGCCGTTGTAGGGTATAATATTCCAAGGGTCCCGAGTTGGAGTCTCTGTCATATATGTATAATTATGTATATATTTTATATAGTAAACAGGTGCTGGATAGTTACTTTATTCTTGATGATCAAGGGGTGATTATTTTATGATAATTTTACCATTATTGGCATGGCAAATGTGCGGTACACCTGTGTTATTGCTCTAAAAAAACATGAGTGGGAGTCAGTTATTTAGGGCATTATCAAAGCCATAGATAGTCTGGCTGTATAACTAATGGCAGGGTCGAGGCAGATCACTTTCTCTTCCTGTGTAGTAAGGGCTATTCAAAAATTTTCAATAATATTAGTGCGATATTAATATGAGCCGTGTCACGACAAAACCAAATAGTGGGTTTGCGACCAGCATGGATCCAGACCAGCCTGCGCATCCGCGCAGTCTGATCAGGATCCATGCTGTTCGCTATCAGTTTTGCTACTTGTAATAGGGTTGGTAAGCGAACAGCATGGATCCTGATCAGACTGCGAGGATGCGCAGGCTGGTCTGAATCCATGCTGGTCGCACACCCACTATGTTGGTATTGTCATGGCATGGCTCATATTATTTTGTCTGGACCGACATTCATATTGATTTGGCTGCATGCTTATTTTCTATAGCTAAATAACAATGAATGAAAACATGTCATTGTGTTTGAGGACAATAATTCAGAGAACATAATTATTATTCAATTATAGATCGACTCTGTAACTAATGCAACTGATATTGTGTTATAAGTTGATGTCAAATCATCAGCAGCCCTCCAAATCAACACGTTACCAGTGCACTTCACATCCATTATACTGTCTTCACTATTCAGTCAGACTAATGGAAGATGGACATCTAAGTCCATGTAATATATTAAGAGGAATATATCAGGTTGTTTGATCAGATAAACTGGACAAACATGTTATTGTACATTTTCTCATTTTCTCGTTTTCTAGCTAAAGTGTAAATTCATGTTAAGTGGTCACTTAGGGTCAGTGACTGAAAAAATAGGTAATGTACATTTTTCTTTTTTCATCAGAATGCAGGCAAGCTGGGATAATAATCATGATACGGGTCAAGTTTTGCTTACCATCTGATTGAATTAAATAAATACGCATCATTATTATGTACACAATTTACAGCCACGGTATCATTATCAACATTATAATAAGTGGCGATTCATAATCATACTATTTGGTTTAAATTCTGTTAAAATCGGTTGTATTTAATTTCAGCTTGTAGATTAAAAAATATCATCCTCCCTTGATCCATAAAGATATAGTTAAATGCCATTTAATTATAAAATCTGAACAAAACAAAAAATAACTTCCAAAATTATGTACATAAGTGATCAATTTCTTGAAAAACATTATTTAAGCGGTTGCATGAAAGTTACTAAAAACAGCTTTTGTGTAACTAAGTTTCATATAAAATATCCTAAATACCCATTACAGATTTAATCGCCATTTATTGAATATATAAATGAAAATTACAACAATAATATAACGTCTGAAAGAAATGTAGTGATGAAAACACTGATTTCTGAAAAATCAATGTCGCAGACACAATGCTCGGCCTTCGCCTATCTGTATTTTTCCAATCACATTTCAGTATTTTTCCATCTTCGAATTTTCAGCTTCCATTTTGATTTTAGTTTCCAATAAAATATCTTGTTTGTTAAAAGAATTAATTTATTGGCATTTATTACATCTAAAAGAAGGAGACTTAAAATAATGCTGATTTCCCGATCAATCAATAACTCGTACAGACACAATAAGAATATATGATACGTCGATGCTGATTCATCACGTCGTAGAAAACACATCACACACACTCTAGCTTTATCAATAACCGTTTGACTCATCCGACAAAATCTGTCCCCACTATTCTTTTTTTCGAAACAACACGACGACTGCAGCGTTATGTTTCTGCTCGTAGTTCAAGCTCCATGTGCGTATGTTTAAATGCTGGAATTGGCCATTCTCGTAAGATTTTTTTCTTGGATGTATTTTAATATCTTTGTATTTGGAATTATTTGTTAGCGTTGTTCTAAAGGTGGTTATATAAACTTATTTGGATGATAATTTTTATGTTATATCAAAGTGCGTTGATATTTGGATTTTAACCAAAGGATGTGTAATTGGTATTGCGTAATATATAATATGTTTTGTAGATGTTTAATTGTACAGTTGATGGACGGGGACATCTCTTCTGTATTGATGTTATATGTTAATGTTCTTTGGGTGGGTTGATGGGGCGATGAGAATAAAAGTGAACCCGATCATGTGCTATTTGGGTCATATGTAGTATTGTTTACTTGTTTTTATTTTGTAGAGTGACTAATTAATAAGAACAAAATTATTGTCCAGACATACAACGAAGGCATGGTAAAAAAAACTCCTTATTTAAATGCCCCTGAGACATTATAAATTTGCTATCTCTTAAATAGGCCAGTGGTAATTAGTGAAAATATTTAAAAGAACAAGATGTATTTAGTGCATGGAAGTGCTTTATACATGAACAAAATTAATATATAATGTCAGTTTAAATTTTATTATAAAATATGGTAGATTTAACTTATATGATCCTATTTTGATGTTAAAAATATGTGGAGTGGGTAAATATTTAACGGTAGCTGTTATAAAATAAATAAGGCATTTAAAGTGTTGTTTAAAATACACAAATTATCCCATGTTTGGGAAAACCTTTATTCCAGTAATTTTCTGGTAAATTTTGAATGTAGCAGTACTACGCTAATGTAGCGTAATTGACAAGTAATTGCACCATTTATAATTTGGCTGCTATTACTTTAACCAGTCGCTGAAACTCAAGTTGTATTATCATGGCTGTGTCGGCAGTATAGAGCCCCTAGCTTTCCCCCTCACACACCAGTGCAGTCGCACCATAAGGCTCTGTTCTGTTGATGCGTAGCTCAAATTTTGTATTTCAATGTCCAGAAACCCGTTAAATTTAAATTGAATGAATTGTTTCAGATTCAAATTAGGACATTAGTCCATCGTACGAAATGTTAAAGTGCGACTAAAGTGTCAAATGGGCGTATAAACAAAAATAAGCAGGAAGTAGTGACCTTTTCCAACTTCCTGATTTGTACGTGGCGATGTTCCTTACTGTCCCCATGCACGAGACGTCCTTTAAACGACTATAAACACTGGAGTCGCCTAACAAATCCTAATTGCCGTGAATTGCTTTCGGAAATACAGGCACTTAAAAAATAGCGTAAAGTGCCGAGATGTACTTTGTGTACTTATGTTTTTGCCTAAAAATAGATCGTTTATATATTGTTAATGATATTGCGATGATCTGATGTAGTGTATATAATATCAGAGACGAGGAAAGTTCAGTTATATATGTGTACAAATATGATTGAGAGATGGGGGATTATAGTGAAACAAATTTTTTTAAAAAAATAATTTGAGATATTCAATAAAAAGTTTTTATTTCCAGGATCAATAAAGTAAAAACCGAACACGGATTTAATACTGTAATAATGATTATTCTGAGTATCATTTGTCGATAATATTTATATATATGATGGAAGATAATGGATTTAAATAATAGGAAGTTGTATAGTTGAAATTTTTCAATTGTGTATGACATTTTTATCCTTTATTGTATTGCAACAGGAAGAAATATCGTGTGAAATAACATGGATAAAAATCAGGTAGAAATTGGCGAAATTATCAGTTTTTATCCTTCCTTGTGGCCAGTTTTTATCCTTCCTTGTGGCTTTGAAATATGAATCTAAACTACAGAAGGACAACAACAAAAATCACTCAATAAGAATATAGCTATATTTGGTAACAATTTGGACATTTTCATTGTGCAAAAAACTTGATTTCATTCTTTAGTATAGGTTGTTTTTTATTGGTGTGTTTTTTTAAATTTTAAAGTTTTTGTTTGAACTCGTGTGGATTATAGATAAATAAGAAGTTTAGGGAACAGAAGTAGGAAACAGTGAATTACAAGAAGTGTGTTCTTATTGCAATGAAGAATTTAACCACCAAAAAAAAAAAATCAACAACAACAAGGGTTTCATATGACGATAATGACTCAGTAATGAAATAGTTTAAGTGGGTGGTCATTATTAAAGTATATTTAAGTGTTATGGTGGTTTTTTGACTGCATTTCGACACACTGTGTATAAATCATGAGGATGCAGACTTTGGATTATTATAATGATCAACATCCTTAAAAGTGCAATTTTATGATGTCACACTTTTGTGACATATGACATAAGTAGTGAAATATGTTAAGATAATTGTAGTCAGTAAGTGTAATAATTTGATTTGATTTGTGAGACAATCTTGGAATTTTGGTGACATGTATTGTGCGATTTGTGACATGATATTGAAATTTTGGTGAAATAATTGTGTTATTTGTGAAATGATCTTGGACTTTGGGTGACACTATTGTGTTATTTGTGACATGATCTTGAAATTTGGTGATATATTACTGTGCTTTTTATTACACATGATCTTGGAATTTGCTGATATAACTTTCCAATTACTTGACTTATTGATATAAAGTGTAACATTTTGAGATATTACAATTAAGCAATCTGACGGCAGCTATGTGACATGATAGCTAACTTTGTGACATGACTGCAGTTGTATGACATGTGACATGATGGCAGTAGTGTGACATGATACCAGAAGGATATGATTATAATGTTCTAGCTAACAGTTCATGACAGAAGAATAAACTATTGCTGATATATATATATACACGGCGGGAAGAAGAAATGACCGACGTGTTTGAACGCTGTGGCGTCCAGTTGCTGAAAGTAACACAATGGTAATATAATCTATAAACAATATTCCCAACTGCTGGTAGTGTCTGAATCTACCCATGTGACCTGTGCAGACCAAGATTAATAATATCTGTCATATGTTGCGATTCGGATCAGAATATCCGTCACGAGGGGAACTGCCAATTGGGCGGAAACGAGGCTTGCCAAGTTACCGCCCATGGGCTGTTTCCCTACCTGGGAGGGATATTCCGATCCGTAAACCGCAAACATTTTTCAGATATTTTTCTTGCATATTCTACCATATTTCATTATATTTTAAATTCTTTACTGTATTAAAACAATTTTTCATGGAAATTTAGGCCATTATACCCATAACTATTTTCACACAATAGTGTATGAAATTCCAACTTCATTCATAACGGTAAAATTATGTCATCTTAAGTGTGTCATTGTAAAGGGTACCCCACATGCCAGATGAAATTTTTGTCATGGGTAAAACTTAACGGAAACGCCAGTCCAATATGCAAGATAAACCGTGTTGTGTAATCATATGCTACACTGTTCCCTTTTCAGTCAGTACATATTTTAGACTTTTCCCTGAAAATAAAGGTTTTGTCCAGTTAACATATATAGGGTCATGGTCAGGGTTAAATTTTAGATAGATATGTATAATACTTAACTTGCACCAATATGGCAGGGTTTAAACAAAGTCTAGTGTTTTGAAGTACAGTAAAAACCCGCTAATGAGACCAATGGAGGGACTTTACAAATCTGGTCTTAATAGCGGGGTGGTCTCATTAATGAGTTTGGTCAAACAGAAAACCAGGCAATATATTAAGGGATACCATGTACTGTACACATGTTTAATTCTGGGCTAACCTTTTACAAATGAGAAGATATTTAACATTCACTATTATTTTTTTATTTTCATTTCTTTTCTTTTACTTTTTAACATATAAATTTTTTAAACTTCTTTAGAGGTACAAAATGTATTATGAATGTCTTTAAACACAAACATAGTTTTACATTCTTGTTAAAAGAATGACATGACTTACTCAATTAAATCACCATTTTACTGCAAAGCACATCGACCAATTAACCTTTAATTATTTTCACAGTTTTCATCGCCGATAAAAACTTCAAAAACCTAATCGTATCAGGTTAATGTTTGTTTAAAATTATGGAACGAAAGAGATAATGATAGCAGCAACACCTCTAGAAAACTTATTGAAAGTTTTCTGTTCAATATTTTGTTGTTTTAAACCTCCAGTTATGACATTAAAGGTGTGAAAAATTAAGAAATTATCGACAATATTATTGATCATTTCCGGATTTGATACAAACTAACCTTGACCTCTGCCGTAAATTGGATGTCGTTAAATGTCGTAAAACTATGACAACTGTTGTTTACACTACGTGTCAAATATACATGCATGTCAATATCAAGGTGAGAAAGTGCCCGCGGTCGTATTTATGGGTTTCCAAATGTACAGAATTTACGAAATGGGACTGAATTTACTGGTCGTATTACGGAATAACGGGGTGGTCTCAAAATCGGGGTTAGCGACCATTAAAATAAAGAATAAAAAAATCGGGTCTTTGAAAAATCGTTCGTATTAGCGGGTTGGTCTCGAAAACGGGGTGGTCGTAAAGCGGGTTTTTACTGTATATATGTTTTAATATTGTATTAAAGCCTACTTCAATTATATATTAATTGGTTGAATCAATTAACTTGACTGTATCTCTCTACTATAGGTGTGTCAATGAGCTTCTAGATAACTCTGATCAATATTTTCACACTGTATTAACTTTGTCATCAATCTTCTAGATAACTCTGATCAATATTTTCACACTGTATTAACTTTGTCATCAATCTTCTAGATAACTCTGATCAATATTTTCACACTGTATTAACTTTGTCAGCAATCTTCTTGATAACTCTGATCAATATTTTCACACTATATTATACAATGTAAGAAGCAACAATGTGTATAGCTGATTGTCATCATACACACTGATCAAAAGTTGAAAACCAAAATATGATACACTTAACTTTAAAAATCCTGTACATGTATGTTGTTATTGAGGTTGTATACCACACTTAGTGAAATTATTTATGTGCATATAATTATGCTTATAAAACAATTTTCAAACATCGAAGAATAATTATGTTCTGCAAATATGTGTACATATAATAATTATGTTATCATTAAAATATATGCATTCATATCTTATTGAAAAATTTGACTTAGACTTTATAGAAAATAAATTTTTTATTACCTTCCTTTATTTGCATGAAATGTTAAATTCGGTAATATCTTTATAAAATTTTTAATAATGCTTTTTGGAACTTACAAAATTGATAAATCTTAATTAGAGCATCATATTAATTTTATGACATAAAACCATAAAAAAATTGTGTTACAGGATCTTTAAACTAAATAGCATTTGAGACTTTGTTTTCTTGTGCAGTTGGCATGGACAACGTGGTCTCAACCATTATAATACTTTTGTTTGCTAAATATATTAAATTTTCTTGGCAGAAAATTAGTTGGAATATTGTGTAGCACATTAAATATTTCAGTTATTGTTTAGACTGTTTTAGACACTTACACTGTTTTGGGATTTATTAAACAGAAAGAGGATAAAAATTATAAAAGATTCAATGGCTGCCTGAGTATAAATCTTAAACCCTGTCTTATAAATGGTTAGTCTTATAGCTGAGTAATTTAATACAGCATTTTACCCTAATACCTGCTTGATTTGCCTTGCTTGATTTGGCTTGCTTTAATTTTGATCAGTCCATTCAAAGTTAAAAGAAAACTTCATATGGAAATATCAAAATTGAGCTACGAAATGTCACCTTATAGTCAGTTACAGGTGAGGTCAGGTGAGGTCAGGTCAGCACATAATGTGCAGGCTGGCCTGGCTTTAGACAAATGTCAATATGACTTGTCCTATGTGGTTCCAACAGGCTCTAAGAATTGGCTTCATAAAATAACAATGGTAATCATAACAATGATCAATACTTTTCACACTTGAGAAAGATTACATTGTCTTTGATCCTAATAACCATAACTATCTTTGCTTTTAGTAACAGTGTCTCCTAGTGGATTGCAGTGTCTGATATCTTTTGTATGCTATTTTTAGATCTTTTGTACCGATTATTTTTGTCCGATATATCTTCACATAAGTGCAGTAATGGGTTAAAAACCCATATAATTTAATAGAAGTTAACCTGTGATTGCACTGAGGTGGCTATATACATTATATATAGTATAAAAGAAAAGATTTTGAAAAAGGTGAAAGGTAAAAATTGTCCTGAAATAGAAAATTATTTTGGGCCTTTATAGAGAAAGGGGGTCACTGAGGGGCAAAGGAAAAATGGAGAAATTGTTAGCAATCTGGTGAAAGCACCTGAATGTATAGATCTACAGTAAAGGTTTTATCTGATAATAATAATTCCTATCACAATAAAGAAAATTTTCCTTGATAATATCTGCATTTCATTAAAAAAAAATAATCTTTTAATATGTTATATTAAAGTTAAATTTTGAGATAAAATGGCCCACGCTTTGTTTAATCAGTGACCTTTTAATCTTAGTGTCATCAGCTGGTTATTGTTTGTATATAATTGGAGAAAGGCGGTGATGTTACATGTTATCTTTATTATTAAACATTAAATTTTTTTGGTAAGGTCAGTTGGAAAAATGGATTTCATTATGTAATTGACACAATTGGTTTGTAAGTAAATTTATAATTATATAATATGATTTTATGATATAATATTTTAAAATAGGGATATTTATATATCTGTGTTAAGTGAAACATAACAACTGTTAGGTCACATGTGGAAACGGTCACATGTGGAAACTGCAAATTTTGATTCTGTGCATATTTTATAACTGTTAATAAATATGTTAATGATTTTTAGACGAGAGTAGCTTGAGTTAACTAGCTTGAGTTAACGGACAGCTCTTGTTTATGATGCTATATAAATGCCTTGTTAATTCAGAACAACTCTATGTCAGGTAAAATATGTTATTTAATTATTATCTTATACAATTTATTGGGATAATAAAATAGAAACATTACTGACCAGTGTAATAAAACTGCCATATCAGTAATTATATTAGACACATCCTACCAAAGTTTGACAAATATATGTGTTACATAATAAATTATGTTAATTTAATTTAGTTTTATTAGTCCAACTAATTGTACTGCACGCTGAGATACTGAGCTATTTTGGTGTCTGGGCAATATCTCGCCTCTACATACAACATAATAAGTGTCTTATAATTATGTTGTTGAATAAATTCTTAGTTTTAATTCGCTGCATTTTTTCATTTAGACCGAAATCAACGTTTCACCACAGAAAGGTCTGACCTTTTGGTTTTGACATAAAAACTAGATTCTTCCCCAGAACATAAATATCTCAGACGTCAATATTTTTTGACTAAGCAGTCATTATTTGATACATGTTTTTTTTCTCTTATGTCAATAAACAAGTTAGTTTTAAGTCAAATTGAATGTAAAATACAATACACCATCATTGTATCATTAAACACATGATTATGTTTTACTTGTTGTTTTACACATTTTTCGAGAATAATTTTGTACATGTATTACATAACATATATGTTAATTTCCTCGTTTTAAAATAAATTGATAGATTTTTTTTTATTTCTGACATCAATAAACAGGTTATCTAAAAGCCAAATATAATCAAGATAAAATACACTTATTACGTAACATAATGTTAATCTTGATTAGTGTTTTAAAAATATAATTTCACACATATATATATTAATTTAGAATATAACACATTTATTCTCCAATTATCAATAAAAATGTCAGCTAAATGCCATATATACAATAAAATATACTTGTGATATACAACACAACACAGGAACTGGGGGGGAGAGGGGGGTATGGGGGGTGATGGCCTGGCTGACTTCACATTGATACAGCAGGATGTAAGGTGAAAAGACATCTTTAACCCTCCCATACCTAAATTCAAATTTTATGTCAGCCACCCCCA